ACATTACCATAGTCTCTCGAGACTGAAGGATGCCTAGTCAGCCCAGAGGGGAGATGGCAGTTCCTAATATACAGTATGCTTCTGATCATTTAAATAGGAACTGCACAGAAACATGTTTAGTATGATGTGAAAGCTGAAAAAGGACCAGAAGCCACAATAAAGAGGTAGCAAAGATAAACAGCATGATTATCAGCAGCTAGGACAACCATATGTCTTGTTTCAAGCTGGACACTCCTCTATTTGAAGAGTTGCTGGGAAAGTTTTTTTAATTTTGGAAGGGCTCTTTGATCTATTCTTATTTAAAGATATGTGTTTCACAAGGGGCAGATCAGAGACGCTGAAATTGCTTATCCACAGTTAGCAACAGTGGACAGCAGGCTCAGCGAGCACAAAAGTCAACTGGTTATGAGGCCTGTTCAGACTGGCATATAGATCGGTATGTGGACTGGTCTTGGTACAGTTTGGTTTGAACAAAATGATTGTGTCCACATGTGTTTCTACAGTATTTACATCCAGCCATCCTGTCCGCCTGGGCATAGCATTAGGACATGTATTCTTTTTGGTATGATTTAGCGCAGTCCTTATTATCTTGTGTAGCCTGTGTGGATGGTTATTTCTCACTCAAATGTAGCTGTGGGCAGCATTATCAGAGATGACAACCCTTTGACATAAAAGGCGGGTTGTGACATTAACTGGAAGGACAGAGAAATCTCCTCTATTTTCATCTTTTTAATAAATATTTCCCTAATTGATGCAGTGCAGTTCTAGCACTACGCTAGGTTAATACATTGCTTTTTCAATATGCAACTTACTTTATAGCATGAGAAAAGGGGGGAAAGGAGGCTATGTTGACTCTATGGGTTCCACCCCCCAAAAGGCAGCGCAGTCCAGGCAGAGCCTCAGCTAAGGAGACAAAAGGGGGGGGAAGAAGGATTCCTTCTCCTCTGTCTTCCTAACCTTCACCCCAACGTTTTCCCCTCATGCCAGTACCACCACTATGAGGTGTCTCATCACCACTGCTGCTGCCTCTTTACTTGTGAGTAAACCAGGTGATCTTACTCACAAGTTAACCAAGTTAACCTTACCTGTGCATAAACCAGGTACACCTACACATGAGTTAACCAGTGATTTAAAGATTTATATGAAAAAGAAGGCTGACCGCCGAAGAATTGATGCTTTTGAATTGTGGTGCTGGAGGAGACTCTCGAGAGTCCCCTGGACTGCAAAGAGAACCTATCCATTTTGCAGAAAATCAACCCTGAGTGCTCATAGGAAGGACAGATCCTGAAACTGAGACTGCAATACTTTGGCCATCTGATGAGAACAGAAGACTCCTTGGAAAAGACCCTGATGTTGGGAAAGTGTGAAGGCAGGAGGAGAAGGGGACAGCAGAAGATGAGATGGTTGGACAGTGGCATTGAAGCGACCAACATGAATTTGGCCCAGCTGCGGGAGGCAGTGGAAGACAGGATGGCCTGGCGTGCTCTGGTCCATGGGATCACGAAGAGTCAGACATGACTAAACGACTAAACAACAATGTCTATTATCATCAATCACAACCTTCTATTTGTTATTACAGTTCTCATTCACTTTTCACTCTAATCACCTCAGATCTCCCAAATACCACACTCTATCTCCTTCTCCACTCTCTCACTCTCACTCTCTCTGACTGACTCTTACTTACTCTTCCTGACTGACTCCCTCTCTGACTCCACCTCTTTATTACATATCTCTCGGCTCTACCTCTTAGCGAGTATGTACATGTTGTGAGTTGCCTGGAGGGCAACAAATTAAATACAGTACATAAGTATTAGTTCCATGCCATCCTGTGCCACTGCCTGGGCTCCATGATCACTGCAGATGTTGATAACAGCCACAAAATGAAAAGGCACCTGTTTCTTGGGAGGAAAGCAATGACAAACCTAGAAAGCATCTTAAAAAACAGAGACATCCCCTTGCCGACAAAGGTCCGCATAGTCAAAGCTATGGTTTTCCCAGTAGCGATGTATGGAAGTGAGAGCTGGACCATAAAGAAGGCTGACCGCCAAAGAAGTGATGCTTTTGAATTGTGGTGCTGGAGGAGGCTCTTGAGAGTCCCCTGGACTGCAAGGAGATCAAACCTATCCATTCTGAAGGAAATCAATCGTGAGTGCTCACTGGAAGGACAGATCCTGAAGCTGAGGCTCCAATACTTTGGCCATCTCATGAGAAGAGAAGACTCCCTGGAAAAGACCCTGATGTTGGGAAAGTTTTCAGCAGCTGTTCCTAAACTATGGAATACCCTCCCAACTGAGATTCGTCTGGCGCCGACGCTGATGACATTTTGTCGCCAGGTCAAAACCTTCCTGTTCCAGAAGGCTTTTAAATGAAATAATATCAGCTCTGGGTCTGATGGCAATTTTTAGAGTATGTATTTTTAATAGCATTTTAATTATTTTGCCCTTTTATTTTGCCCTTTTATTAGATTTTAAATGTTGCAAGCCACCCAGAGACCTTCAGGTAGTGTGGGCGGCATATAAGTTAAACAAACAAACAAACAAATAAATAAATAAATAAAGTATGAAGGCAAGAGGAGAAGGGGACGACAGAGGACGAGATGGTTGGACAGTGTCACTGAAGCTACCAACATGAATTTGACCCAACTCCGGGAGGCAGTGGAAGACAGGAGGGCCTGGCGTGCTCTGGTCTATGAGGTCACAAAGAGTCGGACACGAGTTAATAACTAAACAACAACAACATGAAAATCTCACAATGTGAACAGAAGAATCGCTCAAGTGAAAGATAAATTAGATCGCACTGAAGATAAGAACCTTTTAAGTGTGAACCAGAGGGCTCCAAATTTCCCTGTCTGGACAGGCCCATCATTGTCATCTTCTCCACCTGACTGAGACATCTTTTCTCTTCAAACGATTGTAATTGTTTTCAGTTTTGCATCTGTATGTATACCTCAGTATATGCAATTATAGTAAAATCAGTGTTCTGGTTTGTTCTTCTGTTTAATTGTGTATATTCTCTTTTCTGGTGATGTGTAAGTGGCCACCCTAGCATCACAAAGCCATTATTAACACCAGGCATATTTGGTCAGCTTCCCGGGGCCCAGACCCTCAGCTGCCATGACATGTCCCCTCCTCGGTGAAAAGGAACCTCTCCAGCTTAGCATTCCAAGGCAAAGTGGCCGTGTGTCCTCTTTTAGTGAGGACAATCTTCTGTTTGAAGCCTTGCCTGTGGACAATGTTTCTTTTGAAGAGGCTCTCTGTTGGAAAGCCTGTCGATTCTAAGTCTGACGTAAAGATAAAGTACAGTACTAGAAGACAGGGGAGCAGAGGCCTTGAAGCTGTCCATCTGTGGTGAGCCCCTGGAGAGCAGAGTCAGCAAGCACTCAGGTCACCTGGCCACAGACTTTACCACCTGAGTGACATGCATTGCAATTCCATTTAAATAATAAAACTCATTTTCACTTTGCATCTGCCTATAAATTAGCCTATGCAATTTTATGCAAAGCAGTATTCTCTTTTATCTGCTTTTCTTTTTGCTGATGCATGGCCTCTTTTCTAGTGACAGGTAAGTGGCCACCCTCCTCCAAGCAAGCACCTAAAACCAGATCTAACAACCATTTTAATTTTCTATCATTCTGTCAATGTATCCTTACACTGGGGCACTATGGAAAATTAAAATGGCTTCCCCTTTCCCACTGATGCATGGCATTGGTAGTACTGCTGCCCACCTTCCACGCTGGCCTTCTAGGGTCTATTTGCCACCCCTTTTGTCCAAAGCCTGGTCAAACCTGAAGCCAGTCGAGGATAGCAGAGAATAATTTATAAGGGGGAAACATTTCTAAGTTTGTCTGCAGCATGGGCTCCGCAAGGCAGCAAGATGAAGCAGGGCGCTGAAGGGAATAAACACAGGCCACAGTTGATACTTCAAGCATGCAGCAAAACTTTTAGAAAATATTGATCCTAAACTGAGTAGCAGCATTTGGAAATTACTTCTGGTGGTAAAACTGTAACCCTGTAACCCTGTTGTATTAGAGTGGATTTCTTAGCAATGGGAAAGAATGTACAGTAGTTCTTTCTCTTCCTAGTGGCCTACCGGGGTATCTTACTTGCGTAATGCAGGAGTTTCCCTAGCTGCCTCAACCATCAGTTCTGAAAATCTTTGAAATTGGCAGTGTTTGTCAGTTTTTTAGGGGACATGGTGGCGCTGCAGGTTAAACCACAGAAGCCTCTGTGCTGCAAGGTCAGAAGACCAGCAGTTGTAAGATCAAATCCACGTGACGGAGTGAGCTTCTGTCGCTTGTCCCAGCTCCTGCCAACCTAGCAGTTCGAAAGCATGCAAATGCGAGTAGATAAATAGGTATCACTTCGGTGGGATGGTCACGGCATTCCGTGTCAAGTCGCATTGGCCCACCTGACCACGGAAACTGTCTTCGGACAAATGCTGGCTCTACGGCTTGGAAACGGGGATGAGCACTACACCCTAGAGTCGGACACGACTGGACTAAATGTCAAGGGGTACCTTTACCTTTACCTAAGCAAAACTGGTGGGCTTCTAGACAGGCAGGCAACATTGGTATTTGCAAACAACATGGGTCTGTGGAGAACATTAAAGACCAAAAGGAGGAGGCCTTGGTTTTCCAGGAGATGAACAGGTTTTTCTTATCTTCAGCATTATCAGGAGCTTGCCCATGTTTTCCTCATTATAAAGTTTATGCGGTTTGGGGCAGTCTTTGTGGTTTGCTCTGTGTAGGCTAGATAGATCTTTGCAACATCTCTGAGGATGTGGTCTTCTCTGTGTAGTGAAGTTAATCACACTGATGATCAGAATAGGCCTCAGTTTTGCTGTGACACCCAGTGATGCCTTGTGGGTGGCTGTGGAATGCTCTGGCAGTGGAAGTAACACCACCTGATTGGAGGCAGGGTTTGGATCCCTGCACAGGGAGTGACTCAATATCTCGGCAGCTGGTGCCATACATTTTTATCTCTGCTTCTCTCTGGCTGACAAGTAGTTTGACAGCTTTCAAACTGGGATATACACTCCAAAGTTGGGGATCTACTGTGCTTTAGCAGGAGGGACTGCTAAGAAGAAGAAAGGGAGGCCCGCATAGCCAAGATACCAGGTATGTTTCTCTCTCTGTGTGTGTGTGTTTCGTAAATTGAAGGTAGGCCTTCTCCAATCTGGTCCTTTTTCTGATATGTTTGATTACAATTCCCATCAGTGATGCTGGCTAGCTAGGGTGATGGGAATTGCAGTTCGACCTATCGGGCAGTGGGCCAGGGAAGGCTGTTATGGATGCTATAGCAGTGCGGAGTAATTCCAGTCAACACAACTAAAAAAACAACAACATAAGGCCGTGAAGTGTGACCTCAGTGCCAGAAGGCTACTTTTGAGAGGAACCAGAGAATGGAAGAGCATTGAGAGCCACCAATCTGAGCCCAAGAGAATTCCACATCATTTATTGATTTTTCTAAAATACTTCAGCCACAGGTTAGAAATAAAAATATTGAATCCAATGGGTTCAGCCCTGCCTTAGGCATGCTTGGAGTAGACTCACTGAAGTCACCTGGATTTTGTCATGACTAACAAGTCGCAATGGGACTAAACTTCAATATAAATCTGAATCCTATGTAATTTTTTTTTAGTAAAACAAAAAACCACAGTCTTGGAAAGTATCATATCAAAGTTGGTATAATAGCAGTAAAATTAACTGGTCACCTGCCTCTGAATGTAGAAAGGGTGGGAAGCATTGTTTGAACCAAATCCAATAGTAGTCTAAGTCAGGGAAAAGAAACATATAGTTAAGACTCAATAATAATAATAATAATAATAATAATAATAATAATAATAATAATAATAATAATAATAATAATAATAATAATAATAATAATCCATCAAGTCCATTCTGACTTATGTTGACCCTCTTCATTGAATTTGAGGTAAAGAATATTCAGAAGTGGTTTATCATTCCCTTCTTCTTGGGGTGTCCTGAGACTGTGCAGCTTGCCCACGGCCACACCAAGTACTTGCCCAAGGCAAGTACTGTACTTGGTGCGACCTTGAGCAAGCAACACAGGTGGCAATAGCGGGGAATCGGGCTCCCAACCTTTGGTTCTGCAGCCAGATATTGTTCCCCAAAATGGTTATTTGAAGGACATCCTTAGATGTCGCCTGTTTTAATGCCTGGGCAGATCCTTGATGAGTACAGAACCAAAGCACACAGGACAATTGTTAATTGGGGTTTGGATTCTTCCTTCTGCTGCTGAATTCCCATAGTTCCCATGGCTGATAGGTTTTTATTCCAGCAAACTGGCTTGAAGTAATTGTAAAACTCTGTCTTTTTAGGGATGGGGCCTGTTTTAATTTACAATCAGAAAGCTACAAATTTGCCCACCTCATCACACTGGAAAGCATACCTTTGATGGAAGCAATCTCTCTTAAAGCAGCCTTTCTGCCTGCTGAAAACTTAGCCCACCCCCACCCCCCAAATGGAACCCCTCCAGTTGGATTCCAAAAGGTTTAGCTCGGATATGGCTGAAGTTCATTTCCCAGTGTGTTGTGTAACTGTCAGGAAAGAAAAAGCGCTCCAAAACAGTCATGATCTGTTTCCCTATATGATCATGCCCTTAGTCATCGAAATGCCAAATTCAAAATGTCGTAGATGTAGGTAGCCCCCTTGACTGCCTAGGATTTTGTCTTTAACAATCCATTCAGGTAGGTTGCTTCTGTGGATTGACATAATGACAGATAGGTAGCCATTCCTGAACCCATCTTCAGGTCCTTAAGCCCCCTCATCTTGGAGGAAGGAGACCAGATCTGTAATATATCACCTACTGCCAGGGATCTTGGCTGGTATGCTATATATACCCCTACAATATGTATCCCAATTATGGTGATACTTGTGTGGATTTTAATTGTAAGTTGTTCCTTGTAGCAAATTTTAGTTGAAAAGCAAAGTTATAAGTACATAGCAGAGAGATAACAACCAAACGTGGCCTTAGTGTTTTTACAGCCTGAGGCAAAATGATTGGCTTCCCCTTTGTATAGCCAGTTGCTTGCCTCCTCCTCTACCTGTTTGGCAACCTCCTTCTTTTCTTTCTCCTACTTTTCTTCCTCTTCCTTCTCTAGCTTAGCAAGAAGGTGGTTCCAAGATGGAGCTAGGCCTACGAGATGCACATATGATTCTTCCAGAGCAGATTCTTAGGGACAAACTAGACATTAAATGGGATGGAAATGATCTCTGATTAACTTGTTTCCTTCCTGCCAATGAGGTTTCCTCAAAGGTGTATGCCTCAGCAATCAGACTTTCAAATTAAGCCCCTGCTTACTTTCCACAAAAAAAGCACACCAAATGCAAGATACATAGGTGTACGGTAACAAACAGGCATCTTTAATAATTTGAAGGTGTCTCTCTCTAAATGCAGGCTAAGTGTAAAGTCTGATTTAACTCTGAAGCAACAAATTGTTGTATGGAATTGGAGCAACTTTGAAAGAAGCGTGCATACAGTGTTCACGTTAGGTGTCACAATGGAAGTTTTCTCTCAGCATTGCAGGAGTTTTCCATCATATAGTGGCTCCCCAAACCCCAGTCCCAAATAGAGAAGGACAACACAGATTGATATAAGAATACAGTGTTCTTCAATCTGGCATCCTCCAAATATATTGGATTACAGTTCCCATTATCCCCACTGAACATGGCCAAAACAGGCTTGATTTGAGTATATCGGGAGAGAGTTCAAGGTTGAGGAAGGCATATTAAAAGAGACCAAGTCCCTTATCTTGTTTTACATCATAGTGCCCTTCTTTGATGTGACCAAACCAGATGCTTCTCAGAAGCCCATAAACAAGACATGGTCAACAGCTCTCCCCACAAGCTTTGCAGGTCCCCTAGACTTGCTATGCTGTGTCATCACAGATTACAAAGCATGTTTCTGGGTTCAGGGAATTGTAGTCCATTTGAAGGCTGTCATAGGATTATATTATGAGACTGTGCTACACATTTTGTTTGGTTCTTCATAAAATCATTCTCAATCATTAGCTGAAACTTACCCTCATTAGTGCATGTTTGAACAGTGTGGGTTATTCACACCATCATCCATCATTTCAAATTAAAAAGGTAAAGGTAAAGGTTCCCCCTGACAATTTGTCCAGTCATGTCTGACTTTAGGTGGCAGTGCTCATCTCCGTTTCCAACCCAAAGAGCTAGCATTTGTCCGCAGACAATCCTCCGTGGTCACGTGGCCAGCGTGACTAGACATGGAACACCATTTACCTTCCCACTGAGGTGGTACCTATTCACATTTTTGCATTTTGCATGCGTTCAAACCGCTAGGTTTGCAGGAACTGGGACAAGTGAGTGGGGCTCACTCTGTCGCGTGGACTCAATCTTACGACTGCAGGTCTTCTGACCTTGCAGCACAGAGGCTTCTGTGGATTAACCTGCAGTGCCACCATTTCCCTGTATCATTTCACATTAAATTTCACTAAATGTATTTCACCATGGGGGGATGTTGTTTTGGGGATGGGTGATTTTATTTGTTTTGGTGTCATATATCTGTCAGTCCCTGAATTTAGCGACATTTTTTTCTTGTTTATGTAGATGGGAACCAGCTTTACATATATGCATGCCTTGACGTCCTTCTCATAAATATGTTTCATTAAAATTGAATCAGATGTATAATACAAATTAATATTTATAAAGTTTTTTGTCTGTTGCCTTGGGCAATACAGTATTTGCCTTCTGGGCGTAGTGAGCAGGAAGCTAAATAAATTAATAGAATGTATCAATGATCATCTGTGGGTGTAGACAAAATAAATGACAGGAGTCAGCTCAGAAGGAAAGAAAAAGGAATAACATAGGTCACATCCAGACATGGGAAGTTGGAGTATTCTGGTTCACGATTAAAAGGTTTTTATCTTTAGTGCAATCTATTTTGTATCTCACATGAATAATCCTTCCGTTAACACTGATCAATGTTTTTCTCCTGTGGGAAGGGTCCAGATAAGTCTTTGGATCACCCCGATTTGTCCTCCTTTTAATTACAAACACTCTTCTTCCTGCCCCCTTCTCTTTTCCTGTAGCCATCCTTCAGCGGGCTGCAGCAGCTTCCCTTTTTTATTGTTAAATAAAGCGACATAGCGAAACAGCAATGCATCTACCTAGCATGATACACATAATACCATCAATGTATTTCATTTATCTAGGACAGTGCTGCATTAATAAGAAAATAAGTTTTAAACACTTTAAAATATTAGAGTAGAGGAAAATAGAGGAAAAGTTCTCCATTGTCCCTGTCGATGCCATAATCCACCAAATACATCATAGTATTGTCACCTCAGATCAGACTATCCACGGCTCTATTTTGGTAACTATTTACATGGACTACAGAACGGGCTAATTGGGAGCTCTACAAATCATGTAAAAAACAAAACTAGAACTACCACAGCAGTGCCAAAAGGGAGTACAGTATACTCTTTTGACTACACCTTCCAGAATCCCCCCACCAGCATGTCCATATAGATTTCTGGATTTTGGAAGTGTTGCACTCCCAAAAAGGAATGTTCCAAAGCTCTGAGGTCCCCAAGACATCAGGAGATGTTGAAAAACAAGGAGTGTCAACCAGATGTTGAAGGACAGATTTGTGTAGTCTGTCCAGCACTTCCTAAGCTAACCTACTGGCATCAGATGTACTGCAGGACACTGGAGTTGAAGTGCCAATTCAGGCAACACTTTTGTATGCAGAGTGATACTGGAGTGGATGTTTCGTTTAGGCACCAATGTGCCTTAGGCCGATCCTACTCCTCTCTTACTCCTTTCTTACATCTGCTATCTTGTATTATTTCTTTAATTACTGTATTTCTGTGCTGCATTTCTCCTATCAGCGGGACTCAAGGCAGCTTACCAAACATTAAAACAGACAGGAATTAAAACCACACACAAGAAACATTAAAAATTATGAAATATAAGAATATTAAAATCATCCCATAAATCAAATTAAGGAATTTAAAAACATGTTAGGAAAAAAAACATGTTAAAAAGGATATAGCACCAGCAAGTATAGGGTGACTAACTATGTTAAAAATAAATATTAAATACTAAAAGCCTGTTGGAAAAAATGTTTTCAATTGCCATTAAATTTTTAAAAAAAGAGGAGAAGGGGTGCCAGTTTAGCCTTTATTAGCTGAATGGTTCTCACCTTCTATATGCATTAATCTTTCAAAGACAGAAAGAGGCTCTGGAAGATCATCTCCTAATCATCCGCTCAACCAGGGCTTGGAAGTAACATGACATGACTCATCTACCCTCGAGCAAAGGATGTAGGGCCCAAACTTTCTTCCCCATCAGTGAGAACGGTGACATAATATGTCACTGGTGGGTGGGCATCCCTTCTACAACTAATCTCTTCTTTGTAGTGGAATCCTTCTTGTGCCAGAATTGAAGCTGTGTGAAATATGATCTTTTTTTCTTCCAAAACCTAATTCCACTCTAAGAAGCTTCCTAAAAGTAGAAATCATGTAATTTCTGGAATATAAATGTAAAAGGTGGGGGGAATGACCTTTAGGTGAAATAGCAGAGTAAAAGAAGAGAAGAAGACAGAAGGTAAGGTCACTGATGGGCTGTAGGTTATGAACGTGGAACTCTGCTTGACTCCCTGTAGCATACGTGGTTTATGTGGTGTGGAAAGAGTTTGCCAAAAGACTGAGTTGTTTACTAGCCAGTGCTGAAGCTGAGGAGTCAATCCAGGAGAACACAGGAGGCAGAACAGATTTTTGTGCTTTTCTCCCATCTTGGATCATTGTTTACTTAGTAATATATTGTTATGATTTTAAATTGTTAAATTGTTATATGATATGTTGTTACCTGTCCAGAGTAGTCTTTATATGACTAGATGGGCGGGCTATAAATGTAATAAATAAATAAATAGAAGTCAGGAAGGAGAACAAAGGAGCTCAGATAAAGGGCAAAATTATCTAAAAAGCTTCCTAAAAGTGGAAAATACTGTAATGTAATTTCAGAGAATGTGAATGTTCCATAGGACAGTAGTGCCTATGGAACATTCACAAGAAGAAGTTAATGAGCTGGTCAGATTAAAGCCTAACTAGATTGCTGCTCAGATGTGTCCTGGATGCTGTTAGGGGTGAAGGCATGCTAGTTGTTCAAGAACGTAATACCACCCTTTCCCACAGCCTTCTGTGGCTAATGTCACATGGCATAAGTATGGTGACCATGTTGGTTGGTGGGGTTGAGGTTTTGAGCCAGATCCCCACCATGGCCTGCCTCAGTTCATCTCCTGACTTAATGTCTCTTTTTCCTGTCTCTCCTGCCACAGATGTCCATCATCCTTTCCGGTCTTATCCACATCTTTCGACCGCTGCTGTCCTCCCTCTCTGGTGCACTCGACTGTAAGGGCTTGGGGCCATGGTACTTCCTGCTAGGCCTCCGCATCGTGGCCATCTTCTTCTCCAACGGCCCATGGGATTCGGTGAGGGAGGACGTGGCCTGCAATTTTGTGGCACCCATAGAAGACAGGTCACGATTCTTCTGTTTAGCAGTGTGCCACAACCAACGTTTCCCAGTGTCTATATCAAGCACATGGGGGCTGGTGTTCCTCGCATTGCTCCTTCTGGTGGGGCTCATGAGGCTTACCCGCCCCAAGAAAAAGAAAAAGAAGGAAAATGGCAGAGAGACCGAGAAGCGGGATAAAGACAAAGGTTTAGCTATTGTCGAAACTTCGCCTCCTGGAGCAGGGACAGACTTTTCCCATGTCTACTGGGTCGGGCGCCGTGGTCTCCCTAGACGCTATGGCAACAATGCTTACCCGCATCACCATATGCACCATATCCACCATCCCCACTATAGTGGTTGGCATCATTGGGACGATTGGCCTGGGGCACCTTTGGCCCACACGGCTGGTGGACATGGTGCTGAGATTGGCGTTGTTCCTTGTGATGCTGGAGGGTATGGCATGCCAGTCCATGCTGAGCACATGGGCCAGCCCAAAATGCCTGACCACTGCTATGCTATGCCTGAGCCCCAAATGGGCACATGCCCCACAGACAATAGGCGAATGAAGATGCCCACACATTGCACGGGAACAGATGAGTATGGAATGCACACACACCAAAGTCCCATGAGGCAAAATCATGTTGCACCCCACAGTGGTGAAAAGGGGCAATACAGTGCACCCACCAAGTGTATCCCTGTTCCCATTAACAGCTCACCTTATATAAGTAAAATGCCTCCCCACTGCCAGACAAATGAGGAACACGGCGAGACCATCCAGCCTGAAGAATATGGAGCTGTCAAATGTCCTGACTATGCATACAATGCAGGCACACGTACAAGATACACCAGCCAGGGCAAAACGGGCCCCAGGTACTGTGAAGATGGCCAGTATAGCATGGCATCCAAATGCACACCAGACACTGAAGGGAGCATGGAACAACTTGCTGTTCCCCCTCAGTTGGATGACAACGCAAACATGGCCATCAAACGTAGGGCAGTTCAGGGAAATAAGATGCATACCAAACACCACAGGAATTTGGATGCTGCTGGCAGAAGTGACATGGGCTATGGAAGCAACACATGCACCCAACCATGGATGGCCGGTGATTCTAATTGCAGGCCCACTGGTGGGAAGAATATAATGACGGGGCCTACTGTGGCTACAGTCTGTTGCCATGACGATGCAGCCTGCGCATATGCTGATCCGTGTCATATGGCTCCTCAATGCGAACCTCCATGTGCACCCTGCTGTGATGCAGAGTGCACTCATGACAGACACAGGCATCGAGAGACCCATTCTGGGCCCCAAGAGATTGCCAAGAGCTCCATCACTAATATTTGTGGCATACCGCTTTTTGATATCTGGGTGGGGCTTCTTCTAGCTATGGAGATTAGTTTCCTTTGTGTTGTGATTCTCTTCCAGATGCCCACTCTTTTAGGGAAAACATGGATATGTTCCCCGGGAGCAGTCAGCTGCCCCCCAGTTGTTGAGTGTACGGTGAAAGCAAGGGCTGAAAAACGGGTTGCGCTTTGGGGGCTGGCTTTCACTGCCATTCTTTTCATAATTGCCTGTAGTGGCTACTTTAATCTTCGGTTCTGCTGGAATAAGAGGTGTCGTCGAATGTGTGGAGAAACAGAAGAAGCAAGTAATGAAGATTGTCCTGAAGACACAGAAGAGCAGGATGGTGAAGAAGGTAGTGATGAGGAGAATAAGGAAGGAGTCTGAGAAGGAGGTGGGGGTGTGGAAGAGCAGTGAGGGTTACTCAGGATATATCAGGCTGGTACTACTTCAGACTTGCCTGACTCAATATATGAACTTTTCCTAGGCTTGTTGTTTCTGGACTTTAATTCTTATTATTCCCAATCAACACACCCAATAATTAGAGCCAATGGAAGGGTGTTGTTGTCTAGCAATTTCTGTACAGTCAAACTTGGGAATGGCTGCAAAAAGTCTCCCTCTACACAGAACCATCACAGTCAAAGTGAAAGGTTTTGGTTCATCCTTGTTCCCTGGTTATCTTTTCTTATATAGGGTCCAGGATAAAACAAAACAAAATTCATCCCCTCCTTCATATAGAAAACTACCTTCCAAGGGGAAGGTTCTATCCTAACTTTGTTCCCTGATATCTTAATATTTTATCTGCCAGGTTTTCTTCTTGTATAGAGGATTTACTCCTGAAAGGCCCTACTTGCCTTCTGAGGGAATAATGCCAGCACCTGGCAGCATTAGGCTCACTGTTTTTGTTTTCCTGGCCTGACACCCCAGATAGTTTGCTATTCCCAGAAATTCCCCAGATCTAATGTAACACTGTGGGAAGTATAAAAAAACAACAACACGTAGCTATCCTGAACCAGACAGCAACACTGCTACAGCAGCCAGATGAGGCTACTGGCTAGGAGAGGTGGATGCTCTTTGTATATATGTTTTCTTTGGCATCCTCAAATCTGAAGCTACACCACAACACAGGTTAACCATTAGGTGTGAAAGACACTGGAAGGTTGGAGAATTGCTGAAGTCAACAAAGAGAAGCTGAGAAGACTCTGAGATAATGTGTGTGAATGTATACTCCTGGCAGATGTAGATGACAAGAAAGGAGATTTATCGTGGAGGTGGAGACAAAGCACTTACATATTTGTGCCATGTGCATTGAGTTATCTCCTCCTTGTTCCTTTTTGTGGCTAAATTAAACTACCGGGGAGGGTGACATTCAAGGCCACGGAAACTGCAGTTCTGCAAAATCTACACTATATGTACCTCTGTGTTAAAAACTGACCTTTCAACAAGCTCAGCAAGCTGACAGAAATTGTTAAGAGGCCCTAACATTGGGCAGGATGTGGCAGTGACCACTGGGTAGCCAACTCAGATTTGGGATAACACAAAAGGGTGTGAATGGTCAGTTGTTTAATTTATTGTTATTGTATGCTTATTGTCATGAGGGGGTAAGTGGTGACTATAAGATTTTCAGTCTTAGGTACCAAAATAACTTGAATAGCTTAGGGTACTATGAATTAACTTTGAGGGACAGAAAAAGAGAGAGTATATACCATTTGCTGCTTTTCTTCAGAAAATAACATGAGCTTCCCAAAACTTATTCATTGACTGCTGTATGACTGTCGCTCAATTAAAGAATTTTCTGACCCTTGACTAAAACCACCCACCTGCTCCAAGACTAGAATATTGATTACTATTTGTTTAAGGATTTGAATGTCAGTTCAAACATCTTTACACAGAATCATTCCACATGCACTGAATATTTTACAGCTTTAGTGCTAACCACTTTATCAACTTCAGAATGCACAGATCTCCATCATCTATTGTTTGATAAACCATGCAGGATCCAAGTCAAACTTGCTTGTTATTTTGAGCTGCATGCGGTGAGAAACAATTCTGGAAATTATTTTATTTTGTTTTCATTTTTTTTAAAAAAGCTATACAGTAATTTATAAACAGCTCATAGATTTTCAATTACAGGGGCACACAGCTAAGAGAGAGTCCCATGGCAGAGGAAGGTGCTTCCTTTAGATCAAGAAGAGAATTGTGCAGCCTACCGGCCCAATTGCATTACTCACTGGAGTTCCTTAAGTCCTTTGATACTCAAGCCTCCCCATTATGGGGGGTGGGTGGAATCCAGCCAACAAAGAGAATCGCATCTCTGGAGGCTTCTAAGGGCATAGTTCTGCACTGAATTATCCTCCTCCCCATATTAAAGCACCCAAAATCTCAGTTGGGAAAATCAGAACAATATACAGTAGTCTCTTCTGGTTTTGGTAAAAAGTGGGGGTGGGGTTGTATGAATGGGGATCAGACAATTTATTACATGGATCTTAAATATGTCAGATCAGATTGAGATCAGATTGAGACTGGCATTTACAATGCAAGATGCTTTTGACCCATTACTTCGGTGCAAAACCTATAGTGACTTCAAGATTAATTTTTAATAAAATCGCAATCAAAGGAGGAAAAAATCTCTTTGGGATGTGGTTCAAAAGAAATCGCCTGATAGACACAAGCAGACAATAGAAAAGAAGGCAGAGAGAGGCTGTTAATTTTGTTTCTTTTAAATCCACCATATAATCAATGAATTAATACTGAGCTAGTTTTAAGCAAAAGGAAAAAGAGGCAGTGTTAATAGATGGAGGAAGGAGTGCAAGGTTAGTCAGGGAAAATGCCCCATTCCAGCTTATTTCCAGAGTGATGCCTAAGGCTCCATTGTGGTGTAATACTTAGTCTGCATTAACTTGTGTTGGGTCCCTAATTGGGAATTTGATTTTGTGTCCACACACTGACAAGGACCAGTTTCCACCACAGAAGTCCCAGCACACGACTCCTAAATGGTAATTGCATACAAGACACACCTCCTAAATGGTAATTTTGTAGAAGGAAAACAACAGGAGGATATACAGTACAAGGTCAAGTAATTTTGATCTTCACATGTCATTGTTTCCTTTAAGATTAAGAGGTGTTATTAAAATTGTATTATTTTGCATCTTTGGTGGTGCTTATGTCCATGGGTGGAGGAAACTTCATGTATCGTGTTGTCTCTATATGTATTACAAATTTGCCTCAGAAAAACTGCAGCATGGCAAAGGAAGCCAGCCTAATTATGCCCAAGCAGGCCTCTGCTTGAATAATTATACCCTGAAGACTATTTAAATCTTCCTCATGTTGGACTCATCTCCTGCTTCGTGCTTGGCACCCAGCGCCATCTGGAGGTATTTCATCAAAGGAGGTCACCTTCTGATGAGATAATCACCATGCTGTTTGGGAACAATGAGAATGGCAGCCCAACCCATCTGGAGGGAAGTTCTTCTATATGGGAGAATAGTTGTGGTTACCTAGCAACAACATTAGGTTTAGTAGGCAAGGAAGGATACAGAGGAAAGTGTAGGCCAGGTAGATGACGTGGCAGATTCAATACAGGTGTTGTATACTGTGTGCTTACAATGATCAGTCACAACATTAAAACCACTGACAGATGAAATGAATATTGTTGCTCAATGGCAACTCTCAAGAGATGGGATATAGTTCAATACAGGTGTTGTATACTGTGTACTTACAATGATCAGTCACAGCATTAAAACCACTGACAGATGAAATAAATATCATTGATCAATGGCAACTCTCAAGAGATGGGATATATTAGGCAGTAAGTGAACAGTCATTTCTTGTATTCCGTGTGTTAGAAGCGGGGAAAATGGGCACGTGAAAAGATCTGAGTGACTGACAAGGACCAAATAGTGATGGCTAGATGACTTAGAGCATCTGGGCAATGTTCGGATAAGAAACCTTGGGTCCTGGCATTCATGTGAATGTTACTTTGACATGTACCATCTACCTGGGGATTGTTGCAGGCCACATAAACCTCTTCATGGCAATTGTGTTCCATGATGGCAGTGACCTTGTTCGGTAGGATCATGCACCCTGCCATGCTGCAAAAATTGTTCAGGAATGGTTTGAGGAACACGACAAAGATTTCATGATATTGCCTTGGCCTCCAAATTCCCCAGATCTCAGTCCGACTGAGCCTCTATGGGATGTGCTGTGTATACTGAAATATAGTTTATCTGAAATTATGGAAGTCATTTATGTCCAGTACTAACTGAGGGACATGGATATAGCAAGAATGGTGTTGGACAGTTGCCCAGGGCATAGGAAGGCTTGTTCAGGAGTATTTTAAATCAATTCTATAGCCATTAATATTGTGGAGATCTGCTATTACGATGCACTGAATTACAGTACTGCAAAATAGCCAGGATGTAAGTGATGGTTGTCTAATATTTAAAGGTATTGAGAGAGCAATCTAACAGGCCTGGGATCAGGGGAGGACAATCTGTGTCTCAGAGTGACCATCAGATCCAAAGTTTTGCTGGGCTTCCACCAGCAGATCATAAAGGAAGGATAGTGTTTCCCACCCTTGCCCTTGTAATCTTTCCTTTTCTCATTAAGTTGACTTTCAAATAGTTTCTAGTGGGAAGGAAAATAAATATGGCAGCTGGAGGGGGGGGCTAGGGGAATGAAACAGCTGTGGATCTAAAGTTTGTTTTCATATGCCAGCAATTTGTCCTTGTATGAGGCAAAGTAATTAGAGTCTTAATCTGAAATTTGGAAAATCCAGATTCTGGCCATCACTCATACATGTAACTCACTAGGTAATCTTGGGACATTCACTGCTTCTCAGTTTAACTTCTCTCACAGAGAAGTTGTAAGACTAAAGTACAGAAAAGAACTGTGTGTGCTGTTAGGAGCTCCTTGAAGGAACTGTGAGATATACGAGGCAAATAAATAAGCTCCCTGTTTTTGTTGTCTCTATCTTTGAACCATTGATAGCCCAGAAAGAACTGCAGTCACCCAGTCTATCAGGGCTGTAAAGGTGTGCTTTTTCTACTCAAAGACAGGGGAAAGGAAAAGATCTACAAAAATCTTGTAGCAAATGGGATCCTTTGACTTCATAGAAGAGTACCCATAGTGCCATTATATTTTTACAAAGTAGTTTAAATATGTAGTTTAAATAGCGACTCTAGACTAGAACTTGTCAGTTATTCCAGCCCTTATATTCACTGGTAAAAGCAGTGGGTGCAAGCAGCTTTACCTATTACCTACCTGCTTTTGATGATGATGATGATGATGATGATGATGATGATGATGATTATTATTATTATTATTATTATTATTAAAAATGTAACTTAGATAGTTTCTAAATGGGGCTGAGGCAATAAAATGGAACCCTAATAATAGACTTGCCAATCAAAACAGCCACCAACAAGGTTAAAAAAAGATTAGAGATGGGGGCTATCTTCCTAGCAAAATGTGGAATGGAATGGAAATTACAGAAGTGCTCCTGTCCAATCCAGAAGGCTTCTCATTGTGTGGCCGGTTGTCTGTCTTATCTCATGGCCAGTGTGAGCACAGGAACACAGTGTTGAGCTTTTGTTAGAGCAGAGGAATACTTACACATTTCTCCTTCCACTCCGCTTTTAGGCCTTAGGCTGCTTGCCTTGTTTTTTAAATGTAGGAAAGAGTTTGGAATATCCCAGTTCCTCCCCATTCCTCCCTCTTGTCACCACCATCCTGATTTGAATAAATATGAACTCACATTGCCTGAACTGATTGATCGGTCGCAACATCATTCATTGTAGGCTGTACTTTCCAAAATTAAAACATTTTTATTGGTACACTTAAAAGCAGCCAAATGCACACATGAAAATAAGTTTCTGCAAAATATGAAAACAATATTGAGCAGCACTAGAATCTACAGTGGACTCTTCACAGGAAGAGATGTCAGGAAGCCGAATGGGAGGTTGGGGAGGGGGGGAGTAATGCAGCAATGGTACACCGGGTCTAGCACAGCAGTTCCCATTCAGTTCATTGGGTCTTGTGCAGGAGAATACAGTACTGTGGCTGGTTAGGCTAAATACAGGATTAAATTGTAGCAAAAGCCCAAATAACTGCCCTGGCTTCCTCTCTAAGGAATCTTGGGATCTGTGACTTGGTCTGGAAATCAAGGCATTTTTCCTGTAGTGCTCTTGTACCTTCAGAAAACTGCAGGGAGAATTTTTGGGGGGTGGATGGGTAGGGAGCCATGACAGTGAATTCAATTTAGTACAGTGTAAGACACAGAAACATTCCCTTACTGCATATTCTAAAACAAAGCATACTTTGCTTTTTTTATTTTGCATGTGATGATTATTATCTCTGATTCCACCAAAAACAGTAACCACTGCTTCTGGCACTTTGAAGACCAGCAGACCTATTACAGCACAAGTTTTTCTGAGACTAGAGCCCATCAGGTGAATCTGAATTAAAAATGATCTCTAGTTCGTTCACAAAAGCTCATGCTGGAGCAAGATATTAGTCTTGAAGGTGTCAGAAGCTGCTGTCAGTTTTGTTGCTTCATACCAGAGATAGGGGAAATTGCTTTCCTTTTGGACCAGCCAATGATGCCTGGGTTATTTGGGAAGATATTATTTAAAAAACAAACAAACTAGCTAACATTTCACAATGCTGCTCCAGAGAAACAAAGGTTATTCTACTAGAATCTCAAATCTCATGCTGTCTAACCAATTCACCTTGGTTTAATTAATCTTTCATATAGGAGGTACCTGTAATGGGTATATTAGGATGACGATGATCTAGCTTCTAAAGACCTGCTATTAAGAAATCTAGTATCTTCACAATCTTGTATACACTTATCTGGGAGTAAAAGTTTTGACTGACCTGAGTGGAAATGCCGGTTACTTCTCAGGAGACATGCACAGGATTGCCCTGTAATTTCTGACATACGGTAGGGCCGCCATATCCACAGGACTGATATCCGCAGTTTCACTTAACTCCGCATACAACATACAAGGGCACCTCTTTGTAGTCTTTGTCCCACTCTCTTGTATGTCAAGTTCCCTCATATCTGTGGTTTCAGCCATCCATGGTGGATTCTGGAACTGATCTGCCACAGATATGGGGATCCAACTGTACATAGGATAAATCTGTATCTTAGCTAAACAGTTCTTGTCTGGATGGCTTGTGATTGATTACATCCTACAAGCCACTGTGGCCATTCAGGATCAAGGAATGGTCACCTAGAAAAAAACCTGAAACATGAGTTGTCTTTCAAGCAGAGCTAATTTAACCTGCCAGGATTTCCAATACGCCTTGTATCTACGGAGGCAAATGTATTTGGTACGTACAGGACAAAATACTATTTTATCCCTTGTTATCTCTTATTTGGCAGAATGTAAACACTGCTTTTTTATAAATAAAACTTTTGTGTATTGGCTTCCTTGCTTTTCCACCGATATTGTTCAGAAGCTCTTTTAGCTAGGGGTGGGGTGGGGGAATCCTCCTAGTAATTTAAATTAAATTTTTACTTTTGAGATGATACAAAGAAGTAAGCACATTTCAAAGGGTTAAGAATAATTATGTGCTGCCAAGTACAGTACATTCTAGCTTACAACAAACCTTCCCAGGGTTTCCTAGCGTTCTGAAGCCGTTCACTGTTCCTGTTGGGGGGCACTCGGGGGCTGCACAGCTTGTCCAAGGGGCAAAGTGGGGAATCGAACTTCTAACTGCTGGCTCTCTATCCAGATCCCTGACTCACCACTACCTGCACTAAAAAGGGGAAAATATACATATAAGCCTCTATACATTTTACTTCCAGATTTCGGAGGTTTTCAGGAATGCCTAAAGGAAAAAAAATCACTGAAATGACGAGACTGAAACTTTGAGCTAGTGGATAGTCTTCCTATTCATTCCTCCTTGTGTGTTAAGAGTTCTAGACATAAAGGCCCATGAGTCACCCACAGCCATTTTAGTCATCATAATGCAGCAAGCCAATCGGTTTTGAGAACTGTTTTCTGAAAACTCTAATCAAATAGCTCTCTGGAAACAAACAAACAAACAAAACTGCCTTATTATTATTGTCCTGACTTAAATACCGCCCCATAGTGCTACAGCACTCTCTGGGTGGTTTACCACATAATTATGCAAGGAAAACTATATCCCCCCAGGGAGCAGGGAACTCATTTTTCCAACCTCAGAAAGATGGAAGGCTGAGTCAACCCTGAGCCCAGCCTGTTGGCTTCAAACTCAGAGTGTGAGCAGAAGCTTTGACTGCAGCACTGCAGTTTAATCGCTGTGCCACAGGGCTCATGCGACATCCACAACCAGCACCTTCTTTGCAGACTTAGATTTTTCTCCCCTATGTAGACTCATGTATAGATCTTAAAGCCCGACCCACGGTGCTTTCTGTACAAAACCTGGGAAACCACCCAAATGAGGTTTGGTGGAGGTGCCTGGGAGATGGGGAAGGTTTGAGTTGTCTCTGCGTTGGTCTCCACCCTACGTATTCTATATCAACAGGAAAAGGGATGTGGTCAAATTTCTGAACAAGGGCGGAGCAAGAGGTTCACTCTCTCCTGCTCTTCCAACCGCACACCATGGATCAAGGTGATGAAAATAAGAAGGCAGAGTGCTGCTATTTGTTCCAAGGGCAAGAAATCTTTTTTTTAAGCCTGAGGGTCAACCTCCATTTCAAAAAAGTTCTTGGGAGGGCTGCGTTGCAGTCATGGGCAGGCCCAACAGCAAAAAGGTGGGGCTAAAAATACCACAATAGTTTAGCTCAATGTTCTCATTGCCGGTTCCTCAGCCTTAAGAACGACATTTCAGCATTTTCGAGTGGGAAAAAATTCCATGCAGGACCTGGGAAACCACCAAACAACAATGTAATAGGAAAAAGGGGGCACAGCCATTTGGAGAATCCTGGAGAGGCAGATTGGGCCAGAATGTCTCTCACTTCTGACCTACTGTCAGAGGCATAAGACATAGGAATGTGGTACTGTAAGAGCACTGCAATGTTGTAAGGCATGGGCATACTGGGCAGGAGGAGGAGCCTAAGCAGTGGGTGTGTCCTATACTGATTGTTTAAGAGGATTCTCTGGCTGTGCTAGAAGCGGATACCTCCTGAGAAGGTTTCATGGAGCCCTCTGCTAATTTACCATTGGCTTCCCCAGTGCCTTCTGGAATACAGGCTGTGCCAGCACCTGCATTGAGCAGCTGCTGGCATTCTTCCTGCTCTCCTTTTCCACTGATATCTTCCATGGCCACCGAAGGCACTCTCGACTGACGTTTCCCGAAGAAGGTGACCAGGGTATTGCGTCTTGTCTCCTTTTCCCCTGCTGGCCCTGTCACGGCCCCTTGCTCTGTATCCCTGTCCAAGCCTGAGTCATCTGGCAGGGCCACCTGCCCAGCCCATCCGGCCGCGTTGAAATTCGTAGAGCCGGAGCGGCGCTGGCGCCGACGAAACAAGAAAGCAACGATGACCAGAAGAAACAAGACGCAGAAGACAACTGCCAAGATTATTCCAGTGTGGCTGTTCCCTGAAGACTGTGGCTCAGAAGAATTAAGCTCTGATCCATTTGTGTTAAAAGCCACCGTGATTGAACTGTGGGTGGTGGAGGAAGTTTTTTCATTGTCATCCGGCACGTGTTGTCTGGACGTTGTTGTCCTCTTGGTTTCTTTTTCTGTTGGTCTTGGCTTCTCTGATGGTTTCAGGTCGAACTTGCTCCTCAACGTTGTGTTGACCTTAGCCTTCACCCCACCAGTGGTTGTAAGGGGCTTTTCTATGATGCCTGCTTTTGTTGTAATGATGATTGACTGCCCAATGGTGCTCTGGGTGTTAATAGCAGGAGGTATAGTTCCCTGCTCAGCTGAAGTGCTGCTTTGGGCAGGAAAACGTAGTGTCGTTGTGAATGGGACCAAAGGTTCTGAAACCTTTTCTTCATGTTGGGAGGCCAACTCTTCAGTTTCAGGGGGTGGTTGATGTTGTGGAGACTTTTTGACTGTTAAATTCGTTTCTTTGCGGCTAGATATTTTGGGAGATAATTCAGTTGCTTCTGAAAGCACCGTAGGAGAAGTCAATGAAGAATGAGGATGGTCCTCTGGAAGAGATGTCTTGCTTCCATTCTCCATTTGTTCAGATGTGACAATGGACTCAGTGACAACACTGGGCATGATACTGCTGTCAGGATTTGAAACTTTGGTATTCTCTTCTCCTCTAACAGGGGTGCCCATAGTTAAAAGTATATAGAAGCCAAACAAGATGCTGTAGCGAAATATCTGCCCATGGAAGGATCTTGGTGTCTCCATCGTAGTAGAATTCCAGAGTGCTGGCTATTTTGGGCTAGCACTGTGCAGAGCAAGCACCAACAATTACCTGAGAACAAAAGCAAAGGAAGTTGTAGCATTTTCCCCCCAGAACGGTGTTTTGCAAAGATCAAAGAGCAAGAGTTCTATGGCATTAACGGGAATTAGGGATTGATTGATTGATTGATTGATTTGATTGATTGATTGATTGATTGATTGATTGATTGATTGATTGATTGATTGATTGATTGATTGATTGATTGATTGATTGATTTGATTTATACCCTGCCTATCTGGTCTACCAGTCCACTCTGGTGGACTGCACACTAGCACCAAAATTTGGATTTGGATTTTTTCCCCCCAGAATTTGGATTTCCAGCCCTTTGGATTCAGAATTTGGAATTTAAAAAATTTGGAATACCTGGATATCTAGAGCTCCATTACACTCAGATATGAACACTATTGTGCTGTTATATCCCCCCCTAAAAAGAAAAGACAGAAACAGGTAAAACATCTTGAAAGGATTTCTCCTTCTGACACCTTCCCGGTGATTGTGCCAAACCAAAAGAATGGACACAAATAGCCAGCAGTGCCTGGGTATTATGAAATGGCCATAACTGGGCATACTGGTTGAATCCTGAAGAGTGGGAATAACAGCAGGAAAGGCCAGCATCCCTGGGGAAGCAGAGGGCAGGTTGCACTGAAGGGTTGGTGAATACCCTGGCAGGCAGACTGAAGCAACAAATAGCCTGTGGTGGGTGGGAACTGTGCCCAAAGCATGGAGCACAGCACCGTTGAGTGAGTAAGCACAACCTTAGAGTAGCAGCTAGAAGTGTGAAAGATGCAGAAGGAGGGGGCAGTAGCTGGAAGCATAGCATACCTTGTACATACTGTGAGCAGAGTGTGCCATTCTCTCTTACTTAAACAGGACTTCAGGGAAGCCCAGCAAAGGTACGTTGACTTTAAGGAAAATAGGTTTTTTTATAGATCCAGATTCCAGGCATAAGCAATGTGAGCTGACAATGTCCCCTTTGTGGAAGAACACTACTTTCTCACTGGGCAGAGTGGTTGGTGGACAGCAGCCTCCCTGCCATCTTGGCCGGACCTCCCCAAACAGGCTCGTTCTCAGCCCTATAATTTTATTTATTTATTTCTTTAAAATATTTTTACCGTGCCTTTGTCCTTAAAAGCAGTCGTCTCCAACCTTGGGCCTCCAGATGTTCTTGGAATGGACAGCAGCCTCCCTGCCAACTTGGCCGGGCATCCCCAAACAGGCTCATTCTCAGCCCTATAATTTTATTTCTTTCTTTCTTTAAAATATTTTTACCGTGCCTTTGAAGGACCCAGGGCAGCTTACATGATCAAAAGGGCAATATTTGAAAGCTAAAAACATGAAGTATGCAAACATTTTAGAAGAATAAAAGGACCCAGGACAACTTACATGATCAAAAGGGCAATATTTGAAAGCTAAAAACATGAAGTATACAAACATTTTAGAAAAATTAAAGGAGTATTAATTAAAAACGGGAAATAAAAGCAATACTAAAAAGCAGCAGAGTCAACAATCCAATTTGAAAACCCCCTCTCAGTTTGCCAGTCACTAAAGAAAAGCCCGTCTGAAGAGAAAGGTCTTCACCTCCCTCTAGAAGGACAGCAAAGATGGGGCCAGCCTGGCTTTCCATGGGAGGGAATTCCAGAGTGTGGGAGCAGAAACAGAGAAGGCCCTCTCCCATTTCCCCACCAAGTCCCCCTGATGATCTCATAGAGGGAGACGTGGTCTTTTAGAAAGCTTGGACCCATTTAGGGCTTTATAGGTTAAAAACCAGCACTTTGAATGGTGCCCGGAAACATATTGGTAGCTGGTGGAGCTGTTGTAAGAAGGGGTTTTTTATGTTCCCTGTAACCAGTCCCAGTTAACAATCTTCCTGAGGCATTTTGGACCTTCCGGAGTCTGTACACTAAGGGGTGGGTCTCATGTGGTTTGCAGAGCTCCTCGGCACACATGCCTCTGCCTCTGTCGCGTTCTTCCTTTGGGGTGGTGTCTCTGGAGGACAAGCCCCTGTCATACTTATCAAGAGAGTGACTCGGAAAGCTTGCCCTGTTGCCGCAGAGATGAGGGACTTGGGCTCTTGAACACAACTGTTGATACTGCTGTTTGGGGTGTTATGGACATGGCTAATTTCTTCCTGCTCTGTGTAACCCCCTCTGTCCTAGCCAATCTTTCTTCACTAGCTGCTGCTGCATGGAATGGAAGGTTGACAGGCATTTTCCTCCTCCTCTGGCGGCTGCTTAATATCTATTGCCCACTGTTTAATTCAGAGGTCCAAGGGGGTTGCTAGAATGCATTCTTCCTTCTTCTATAAGGAGACAAACCGGTAGTGGAGCAGGCCCTTTTGTTTGCTAAAGGTTCAGGCTGGAAAAAGATGCTGTTTCCCTCTATGGAATCCCCCGTCCACCTAGACTGTCCCATCATGATGCCCTCCATCATGTCAACCAAGCCCTGGAACGTTAGGATCAGCTGACTAAGGATGACTTTCTCTCCCCACTAAGGATGTGTGTGTTGCTCTCTCAAAGCTTCAGAGGACATAGACCACTTGACCGGGGAGAGACAGGCTTGTTTTGCATCCTGGCTGCTCCAGATGTCACTTGTAAAATATACGTACTACCTGTACTCTGGCCAACTGCAGCTGTACCAGTTGCCTGACCCCCCAATATAAATCTGTCACCACCCTGGGGCTAAGAGTCATTCAAGATGGCAATTGGTAGTGGTTTGTCAGTTCTGCTACAAACCTATGGAAACCAAAGAGAATGGGTGGTCATCCAGAGCTTTCTTCTCCCCTAGATGACAAGTAATCATGACATTTTTATTTTGCAGAAGTAGTTTGGAACTTATTCTTGACATGCTCCGGCATTTGCGGCCTCCACCTCTTGCTATTTATCCATCTACCTCCCCGCTTTCCTGGGCTGACAGCTTTTCTGCTAAGTCAGTGGTCCCCAACCTTGGGCCTCCAGATGTTCTTGGACTAGGAACATCTGGAGGCCCAAGGTTGGGGACCACTGCGCTAAGTGTTCCTTCCCTCTCATTAGTCTGTTGGAAGTGGTGTGGTTTAACTGTTTATTAGGTGTTTATCTGTTCAAGTTGGTTGTTAAGTATGTGTGCAGTAAAATGCACAAGTCTGTAATTTCAACTGTAAGTAGACTTTTTGTGCTTTTTCTTTCTCCTATGCACAAGTCTGTAATTTCAATCAACTGTAAGTAGACTTTTTGTGCTTTTTCTACTACAAATATCTCAGGGTGAGTTACTGAGACTTTAAATACTTGTAAATGAGAAAGGGGTGCATCTCTGGGAAACCTGAAGCTAATCTCCTCTGTGGATCTCTGTCCTTCTACCACATAGCAAAGAGGGATTTTAGCAGAAATTCAAAACTCTACAACACTGCCCATGACTGTAGCTTATAATTGTAACTACTGTATATAGTTTTAGAAGCGGTGCCATCACTGAAACTATATACTGTAATGGTAGCCGACAACTTGGTTGGGTGGGTGTGCTATTTGCGATATTCGCTAAGCGATTCGCTTAGCGAATATTGCGTAACGAAGCGGGGGAGAACAGCTGATTGGCGGTTCCAAAATGGCCGCCGGAAGGTCCGCACCGCATTTTCGCGCCCTGCCCTCGCTTACCGAGGGCGCGAAAATGGCGGCGCTATGGAGGAAGATCGGTTAACGGTGAGTTTTAAAGCCATAGGAACTTCGTTCAATGCATTTCTATGGCTTTTTTATTTCCGTTTAGCGATGTTTCGCTATAGCGAAGGTTAATCCGGAACGGATTAACCTCGCTATGCGAGGCACCACTGTATATAGTTTTAGAAGCGGTGCCATCACTGAAACTATATAATGATAACCGACAACTTGGTTGGGTGGGTGTGCTATTGCTGAAATTATCTAATTTTATCTATAACCTTGCAAGGCCTGGGGAATTTTATAACACCAGTTTATGCTATAAAGTGCTGTTTGGGAAGAAGGACAGGAAGCAAGCTGATTGCTGTCTGAGACAAAGGAAACAAAACATTTATAACCACTGATGGGTTGCCGTATGTATTGGCACTTAACAGTTTGGGAGACAAATTTCTGGCTACTCACATCCCCATTCATCTGCAGGCTTAGGTCATATCCTAACTTTAGCAAAACCAGAGGAACTGAAAGATGCAAAAAAAGTGATTGGAAAACAAAGAATGTAATAGGCAAATACAGTAGCAGCTCAGGATAACTGAGTAGGAGGTGTAAAGGGGAAACACCTAATTTAGAGGTACAACCATGCAGCAAGAGAAGTGTGGATTCACTCGCTGTGAAGTCATACTGGGAATTTGAGTTAACTTGGGTCTGTATACATTAACTGGCTGCATAAGCAGTAGAAAAAAGCTGTCTTGTTTACAACTTGTTAATATAGCTTTCCTGTAGTTCTGCAGGACGTGTGGAGGCAAACTGCCTTAACAAGCTGTAAACAAGAACAGTGTGGCAAATTCCTCCCCCGCCTCTTCTCGGTGTCTAGGTGCCCTAGTGCAACTGGTGCACAGAGTGCTGTCTTCTGAAGATGCTGGCCACAGAGACTGGCGAAACGTTAGGAAGAACAACCTTCAGAACACGGCCAAAGAGCCCCAAAACCCCACAACAACGATTAGATCCCGGCCGTGAAAGCCTTTGTGAATACATTATTGTTGTTGTTGTTTTGCATTATTTGTGGATGAAGGAGGGATGGCTCTTCCTCCTCCATCAGCTGCCATGCCGTTATGCCAACCACAGCACACACTTTTCTGTATTGGGTTCAAGTTATCACAATGCCTGAACAGATGAGAATGGATCTATTACTGGAAAAAAAAAGAAGAAGCCTCAAGAGTGGAGGGAAAAACTATGGATTTGAGGGGTGAGTGGGGGGGGGATACCAGATTGATTTGTATTTGCTTTTGTGTCATGAGATCAACAACAACAACATGAATCAGAAATCCAAATCCAGTAACGTTTCCTGCACTTTTTGTCAATGTGGTTACAGCCTATGTTATTTGTCATTCCAGATTTCCATCCTTGGTTTTAATTTGATTAAGCCATAGATGCAAAAAAAAAAAAAAAAAAAAAAAAAAAAAAAAAAAAAAAAGCACATTGTCTTTGCATTTTCCTTGTGCATTACTGGAAGCATGCATTTGCTCGTCTACCCCTGATGTATATCTGTGGGTTCCCCTTACGGGCGTTACAAAGGAAGCAAGATAGCAAAAACACACAAAGTTCAGTGCTTCATTGTCGCTTCTGAGGCAACTCAAGGAAGCTCATCAAAGGAAAACGTGGGAGAGACTGAGGGGGAGGTGGAGCGTACACTTTCACTCAGTTTGTCAGCTTGGAAATAATGACTAAGAAAAATGTCATGGTACTGTACATCCATGCAATGGCTTTCGGCCTTTAGGAACAGTGAAAATACTAAGAAATGTAGTCAGCATCTCTTGTGTGGAAAACGTAGCCATGAAGCAGTCTGGCTTACAAGATTTTTAATATGTTTGTTTTAAGTGGAGCAAAAGTCTACATGGGATGACAGAAAAATTTCTAACTACACAACTTTAGTGTTGACAATGAAACAAAAGTCTACATGGGATGATTCTGTACAGCAACAGTCATGGGGGACAGAAAAATTTCTAATTACACAACTTTAGTGTTGACAATGAAGGAATTGAAATAAAATAGTTTGAGATATTGTATACCTTGATTCTATCATGAATCAGAGAGGCTGCAGCCAAGAAATCAGAAGAAAACTGAGACTTGGAAGGGCAGCAATGAAGGAATTAGAAAATGTCATTAAATGAAAGGATGAGTCACTGGAGACCAAGGCCAAGATAATCCACACTCTTGTGTCTATGATCACTGTGTATGGGTATAAAAGCTGGACATGAAAGAAAGCTGATGGGGAAAAATTATTTGTTTGAAATGTGATGCTAGAGGAGAGCTTTGCAGATACTGTACCCTGGATTGCCAGAAAGACAAACAGGTGGGACCTACTTCAAATGAAGCCTGAACTATCTCTGGGGACAAAAAATATTGGTGCTGTCCTACTTTGGTCACATCATGAGAAGGCAGGGATTGAAGACAATAATGCTGGGAAAAGTTGCAGGCAGCAGGAAAAGAGGAAGACCAAATACAAGATGGACTGACTCCCTAAAGGAACCCACAGGCTTGAGCTTGCAAGAACTGATCAGGGCAGTCGAGGACAGTACATTTTGGAGATTGTTCATTCATGGGGTCTCCATGAGGCAGACACAGCTTTACAACACATGAGGCACATAACAACAAACATGTTGCTAAAACATCTAAGCTTAATGTCTTTGGACTACAGCTGCTAGAATTTGCCAGCCAATATTAAGATGTTGACTGGGAAATTTGGGGAATTGTAGCCTTTTAAAGTAACCTATCCAAGCTCCGGTTTTAGCAGCAACAAAATGACTTGAAAGTATTTGAAATAAAGGAAACTGGGTACATGTTTTTGTGTTAAAGAACTGGGAACACAGACAGTTCCGAGGGCACAGAACTTGTGGAAGTTCTGAATTTTTTAGTTTTAGGATCATGTCTTTTGTAGATCTAGGGGTCTCTAGCAAAAAACCAAAATGGACGCTGCAAGTCCGAAATCTGCTGTTCTACACGTTTGGCGCATACTATAGTACCGGTCCAAGATACTTTGATGCCTGGAGCAGAGCCCCAACACACCACACACATCAGGACCAGCACTTTCAAAAACCCAGCCCCTGCCTTCCCCTCTCCTTCTGTCATCTCACCCTATTGCACGGGAAGTGTCGCCGCGTCTCCATGCGTAACGCCACCCTTTTCATCTCAGCCCATCTCTTAATCCCAGCAGGAGGCAATTAGTGCAAGCCTTCCTCAGTCTGGCACCCTTGAGATATGATTGACTACAACTCCCATTGCCCCAGAGAGATCTGGAAGGTAGCACATGGGGGAATGGCTTGTCCCTAACATTGGGATTAAGAGGTGCATTTAAAGGGATTAAGAGGCATTTAAAGGGATTAAGAGGGAAGTGGATTGGGGTGCTTTGATAATAGCAGATAGATCTACGTAATCTCTTTCATCCAAACCTATCTCACAAGGTAGTGAGTTCACCCCAAGGCCCTTGGAGAAAAAGAAGGATGCAAAGCAAACCCAACTAACGCCATTCCAAAACACAGCCCACATGCCCCGTCCATTTTGCAGGCACACCTCTATCATCCCTCCCAATCTTGACGTGATGCTCCCCTCAGCCTGCTGTTCCCACCCATTCAGCTGCGCCCCAGTCTACCTTTTGTTAGGATGGCTTCCAGGAAGGACGGAACAAGGCCTGGCTTTTGAGGAAAGGTTCTTGCGTGCCACACCTCAGTTTTTTACTTGGCCAGGCAGGAAGGCGTAAATGAAACTGAGAAGGTGGCAGTAGTGTTGAAATACTGAAAAAAGAAGAAGCGACCGTTGTATATGGAAAGGAAGTGGCTTTGTGGGATGGCAGTGTTGTAGATCTGAGTTCCTGGGGGGCAAAGCTTTAGGCCTGAGGGAGGGAGATTGAAGCGTGAAATAAAATATTCACTTGGTACCTGGAAACACTTATTATTTCTTTTTATAGCACCGTGATTTTCTTCTAGGTGATAGGATGAAACAAGGAGTGTCTCTGAGCTGGCACAGAGTGCAAACATCCCCAATCTCTTGCATCCATAATGCAGGACACACACACAAAGGCAGGACAAAGTAACTCAATTCTTTTTCTTTTCCCTAGCAGGATAGGCAAGCAAGAGCTTTCTGCAGGCAAAAATTCAACAGGTAACACTTCCACTCTCTGCCCCACCAAGATATAAATAAGAGAGGAAAGAAATGCAGCAGGGGAAGACAGGTAGAAGCATGACTCTGAGGATGATGCTAAACATTGCAATGCAAACATGCCACAGCCAAACCAAGGGTCTAGTTAACAGGCAAACACTGAAGCTGGGGAGAGAATAGCATATAAAAGGAAAAGAAACATGCAGGTAGGTGAATAGTAGAGTTTTGCCCTACCAGGTGATGGTTCTCTTTTCCTGGTTGTGGTCAGAAAGAACACATCTGCCCAACTGTGAAGCATCAATTAAGCACTTATCTCTCCTCATATGTCCGCCTCCTGTCATTTTTTTGAAGGCGTGACTTTGGCACGAGTCCCACTCATATATTTGAGGAAGCGGACTTGTCCATGAAAGCTCACATTAAAATATAGCAGTTAGTCGTTAAGGTGACACATTGTTTTTGTCTTCTTTACTTTTTTTTAAATCTTTCTTTGGTTTTTGCCTTCTGCACGAGTTGCTTTTGCCCATTTAACTTTCCCGTCAGGGTTTCATTTCATTTGGTGGTGGCCCCCAGACATGGACATCCTTTGCCTTCTGTAGACCATCAAAACATCCAGAATGTTAGCACTTTTAAGGATGGGTGGGTGGCGTTTTAAGCAACTGCCACTATTTGTTTTAATATGTCTGATTTTATTCAGTTTTGTCGCTGTACACTCTTTTTCCTCATAGCTCTTTTAAAAAGTTTTTAATTACTTGATTCCACCGTGTATTGTTTTAATTTGCCACATATACATTTTGCACAGTTGCAACTCTTGTCTGTTATACACAAAAATCCATGAGGGTCTTAGAGAGGAAAGTGTCCCTTTTGGACCTAAGGATCACATCCTGCAATAACTATTATTATTATTTCAATATTTTATTGTTTTAAAAGGAGAACATGACTAGAATGGAAACAGACGAGTACAAGAAATGCCACTGTACAGTAGTCCCACTGAATCTGTGGGAATTTGGCGAGTAAGCACTAAATGTAAGTTCCATTGATTCAGTGGGTCAGATAGACAGATGGACGGAAGTCTGTATCCACAGTGACCTATTTATCAAGTTTCCATAGATTCAGTGGGACTGCTGTCATTGGGACTAGCAATTGGATTGGAGCTTCTCTCACATATATATTAAATTTGGATAATTGAATCCTAGTGATTGAGGACAACAAAGGGAAAAGCTGCTTAAAAATTTCTAAATGCCAAATAAAATTTGAGATGCAGAATTATCATTCCTAATTCTGCACACACATGTGTTCACTGGAATATACATCTCTAGCCTGTATGATCTTGGGCAAGCTGCACAGTCCCACAGTGCCCCTAGAACAGACCTGGGCAAAGTGCAGCCCAAGGGCCACATACGGCCCGTGAGTCCAGGGTTCAAGCACTTGTTCAAGCCCAAGACAGACTGGATTTCTCTCAATGAACAAGTTGAACATCAAAACCATTTATAGCTTTTTGTCTAAAGTTGATCAGTTGCTTATCTTTAACATACCGCAAAAAAAACCTCTTTAGTATTTGTGAAGATTAACAAGTTTTAAATAAAAACAATCATAACATCACTGTTTCATTTTATTTTTAAGTAAAGTTGGTTTGCCCCCGAACAGAGTTCAGATTTTTCATGTGGCCCCCTACAGAAATTAATTGCCCACCCCTGCCCTAGAAGAAGGCTATGGTGAACTATTTCTAAATACCCTATACCTAGAAAACCCTGAAAAAAAATCACCATGAGTTGGAATTGACTTGATGGGATGTAATTATGTACTTAAAACTTTTTATTTTCCTCTTCTATTTCCTCATTAAATGAAGCTCAAAGTCCCTCATCTGTCTGTCTAGTCTAGATCCTCAAAAACATGCACCTAAATCTTAACCCAAATCCACTGATTTTATTTTCTTCCCACTAACAGCCATCTAGAAGTTACATGCAGTACTGGTTTAGCATGCAAACCTTTTACTGAGCAATGCCAACAACTTCTCTCATCTGATCTTATCCCTTTGACCAGGGTCTGAGTTAGCTTTTTAGCTCATACCCCTGGTTTAGCGATTCTTTCATCTAAGGTAACATGTGTGTCCATGCCACTGGCTCCAGTCAGCTGAAGCTGAAAGTAAAAAAACTGTGCAAAAATGTAACTTTTGTTGAATTAGTTTGGATTTTGACCCTTGATTATCCAAAAAATAAAAATTGCCCTGTTCCCTGGAGTCTCCAGCCGCCCTCAAAACATGATATAATGCACACGTAGGACAGATATTGGAAGACAGAAAAAATTTCATCCTGTTATTTTTTGACACGTCAGGGCACGGTTTAAAGCAGAAAAGAAAGAGAGAGAGAGAGAGGAAGAAATGAAAGTAAAGGGGAAACCAACTGCTGGGCAATGTGGGATAACCCGATAACGGATCATCAACTGTTTAATATTGAAAAAAAACAGATGTAACAGAAAGATACGGGAAGCATTGGTAGCAGAGTGACAAAGATTAATTTCTGGGGTTTCTGTTAGTTTCTCTTTTTCTCTGCAGAACTTGGTGAGGCATGGATAATAAAACTCTGCTTTTAAACTAGAACCATAAGTAGCCATTACAACACAGCAGACAACAGGGCGCTACCTAACAGCTATTGCATTACAAGGCATGGATAATGAGAAGGCCATGAAAAAGGAGGGAGAGTGTGATGCCCTCCCCCCCCCCAAAAAAAAGAGAGAAGAGAAGCTTAATGCTTTTGAAGGAAGGAAAGTGAACGGTGATGACGATTATTTTCCTAACACTCATCAGTACATTCATCTCTAGAGGTTGGTGATTCTAGATTTGAATGATGTGGGGCAGAGCCCTACTCACTCCACCATAGTTACAGCCCTGCTTTAAATGTAGTGAAAATAGAGAGCTTGGGAGAGGTGGAGGCTCGGGATTCAGGCTATTGAAGGTCTTTATTCCAAGGATTTGTTTATATACACCACCACCCCTTATTGAGTCAGCTTGGCTGCAGGATTTAGGTAGTTTATTTAATTTATTTATTTAAACTACTTTTAACCTACCTTTCTCCTTTAAAAGGACCCAAGGTGGCTTACAACCAGTAAAAGACAGTATTTAAGCTAATAGCAGTCAGTATACAATAGTAAAAAGATCGGTGAATACGATATGAAAAAACATAAGCAGCACCAAAACACAGCCAATGCAGTAAAGTAGTGTACAGGTACTACCAACCATGTTTAAAACCCCACTCAGCAGCCATTCACTCAGGGAAAGCTTGCCAGAAGAGAAAGATTTTCGCCTGCTTGTGGAAAGAGAGTAAAGATGGGGCCAGACGGGCCTCCTGTGGAAGGGAGTGCCAAAGCCTGGGAGCAGCCACAGAGAAGGACCTCTCGCGTGTCCCCACCAAACGCACCTGTGCAGGTGGCGGGACTGAGAGGAAGGCTTCTCTTGATGATCAACACTTGAGCAGGAGCCGTGTTGCAGTTGGTGGGACTTCCATGGATGGAGGTGGTGGAGGACATATTCCAGGATGTATTTCCAGTCAATAACACAAGCCTCTCATGCACCTCCCAAGGCTAGATTTAGGATTTACATATGTGGAGGGGAGAATGCTCCTTCCCAGGTAAGAGTCAGCCAGTGTTCTCGTTTAACTAGGGAGGAGTGGTGGGGGCTTGGTTACACAACTTAAGAGGGCAACATCTGTCTCTTCTGCCCAGGTGAACCACATCCTGCTCTGGACACACTCAATTTCTCTTGATTTTAGAGACTTTGCTGCTGCTGTTGTTGCATGCTATGAAGCCAGAATTGACTTAAAGTGATCTTACCGGGGCTTTCAAAGTGAGATATTTAAGGAGTGGTTTTAGCAGTTCTACTCCCCCCGTGACTTTCCATGGCTGAACGGGGATTTGAACCCTGTTCTCCTGAGTAAGTCCATCACGCTATCCAATACATCCCACTTGAAATCTGAGGAGCTGGTTAGTACCTAGATGGGAGGCTCCCAGGTGTCTCCAGGTTGTTGTTGTTTGGTCGTTTAGTCGTGTCTGACTCTTCAGGAACCCCACAGACCAGAGCACACCAGGCCCTCCTGTCTTCCACTGCCTCCCGGAGTTGGGTCAAATTCACGTTGATTGCTTCGATGACACTGTGCAACCATCTCATCCTCTGTCGTCCCCTTCTCCTCTTGCCCTCACACTTTCCTAACATCAGTGTCTTTTCCAGGGAGTCTTCTCTTCTCATGAGATGACAAAAGTACTGGAGCCTCAGCTTCAGGATCTGTCCTTCCAGTGAGCACTCAGGGTTGATTTCCTTCAGAATGAATAGGGTTGTTCTCCTTGCAGTCCAGGGGACTCTCAAAAGTCTCCTCCAGCACCACAATTCAAAAGTATCAATTCTTCGGCGGTCAGCCTTCTTTATGGTCCAGCTGTCACTTCCATACATCACTACAGGAAAAACCATAGCTTTGACTATGCGGACCTTTGTCGGCAAGATGATGTCTCTGCTTTTTAAGATGCTGTCTAGGTTTGTCATCGCTTTCCTCCCTAGGCGTCTTTTAATTTCGTGGCTGCTGTCTCCATCTGCAGTGATCATGGAGCCCAAGAAAGTAAAATCTGTCACTGTCTCCATATCTTCCCCTTCTATTTGCCATGAGGTGATGGGACCAATGGCCATGATCTTAGTTTTTTTGATGTTGAGCTTCAGACCATTTTTTGCGCTCTCCTCTTTCACTCTCATTAAGAGGTTCTTTAATTCCTCCTCACTTTCTGCCATCAGAGTGGTATCATCTGCATATCTGAGGTTGGCTTGGGAGTCTCCAGGTACACCTAGGAATTAATACAACCTAAAGACCTAGAGAGCTGCTCCTGCTCTATGTTGACAGTATTGGGCTTGGTGGATCAATGTTCTGAGTCACTGCCAGACAGCACTCTGTGTCTCTGTGTCAAGGATCGAAAGCTTGAAATTTTACTTTCCAATGAGAAATTCTTAATGTAACACATTGCAAAGCCCATTCAGACCAGCAATGTGTGACAATGTGTACTAGAATTTTAAATAACGAGTTCTTACTTTTGGTTTCCTTCTACTTAAAAAAAAAATTCTAGGGGTGATGACAATGGACTAATACTTGAAAAATTCCAGTGAAAACCTCTAAAAATGTCCTTAAATGTTATTAGGAAATGTTGTATCCTTAAAAGGGTCCATTATGATGTTTTTGAAATGCATCTTAATTGCTGCATTACTAACTCCACACCCACTGTTGTTCTTCACAGATAATTACATTATCTTTAATTTGTTACTACTGAAGCTGTTGTCAAAACATATGGCAG